AGAAGAACCCGTCCAGAAGACCTATACAATTTTCTTCTTTTTGATTTTTTACCTGGATTACTGAGATGCATCAGGACATAAATTTTAATTAGTTCTCATACTTATAACTTTGCCTCTCATTACTCTTTTTCCACCATAACTTTTAAAAAAATAGTATCTCAATCACAGAAGATGCCACATTTTAATCCTCTAAATCTGTGTGAAAACAAAATTTCATCCAATTTTGATTTTGATCTAAGACACCTGGGGAATTTGTCATTTAATGATTCACAGTTCTGTCAATAAATGTGACCTTTGAGCTCTTTATAAAACAATAAATAATATAGACCTTTGCACTTCATAAAGAACAACGACAACAGCTACACATTCTTGTGCATGAGCAAAACAAATTTGGAGTGAAATTTGTAATAAATGTTTTAGAATACACTGAATTTTGTTTTAAAGTAAGCATATTGAATAATTTGCTACTGTTCATTTTTTCTGATGGAAAAAGAGCTACTTTGTTTCCTGTGTTCTTGTTTACAAGGTAGAATTAGAGGTTCATCGATAAAGGCTGGGAAAATTCAATCTAACAAATGTTAGAAAAAAACTACTTACAATCATCACATTTCCTCCTTTTATATAAAATAACCAATACAATGATCACGATTGACACCACGATTCCAACAGCAACTCCAGCAATGATCCCGACTGTATTTCCACCTTCTTCAGGAAGATTGTGATCTAAAACAAAGAACACAATAATTTCAGCTACATTTTTAGTTCTCTTTCATACATGATCTGTGTAACTTATACACATCAAAAACCTGCAAGTTTACATAAAGACACTTTGTTGGTTCACTTTTCAGAGTAGATTTCTGTTATGATGAGTAAGAAGTTCTTGCTTATGATGCCAGCACATCRTAAGAAACAAAAATATGGATAGTGCTAACTCTAAGAACTATAGAAAAGTTTCTGCAGCCTGAAAGCACACATTGTCAAGAACTAACCAATCTTCTTTAACAAAAAGAATTAACCAAAGTTAAAATAGTGTTTGGATATGGTTAAGTTGCGATAAACTAAATAGTTTATTCAGTTGGAGGGCATTTAGTCCTTTTTGCAAATATATTGCTTACAAAGAAGAACATCCCAAATGGTAAATTCAGACAGGATTTCTTACTCCACTTCTTTTCAACATGCATGTTGGAGGCACGATGGATGACTTCACAGGTGTAAATGGAAACATCTGACTTCAAAATCTCCACACGGTCTTTCCTCTGGAAGGTGTCGTCCTCATTGGGACGAACGCCAGACGTCTCCACTCCATCCTCTCTGGTTAGGACACGACCGTTCTTCTTGATCTGCAGTTCGATGTCTTTGGGGTAGAAGCCTGTGGCCAGGCACGTCAAGATCACGTTGGTCTCAATTTTGCTCTTTTGTGAGAACAGGAACACTTCAGGTTTCTCTGGAAAGAGAAAATGGAAAGGTACTTCACAATGTCTTAAAGTCATCTCATATGTGACAGTTANCTTTTGTGAGAACAGGAACACTTCAGGTTTCTCTGGAAAGAGAAAATGGAAAGGTACTTCACAATGTCTTAAAGTCATCTCATATGTGACAGTTATGCTAATAAATAGGCACACAGACCTATAGAGTAAGTTTCAATTTAATCACAGAATATTTCTCGGTCTATCCTCTGCCATCTATGTACAGCATTCGTACATTTATTGGTAAATGGCATTTTATAAATTATGGAGAGATTCCCCCACTAAAAGTTCAGTTCAGTTTAGTTAATTCAATTCTTTGAAAAAACAACATAAATTCAACATACAACAAAAATACAAATCATAAATTGAATGAAAGATAGCAGAAGAAGAAAAAAATCTTATCATGTCTGCCCCTTTTTCTCAAATAAATAAATTCAATCATAAATAATCTTTAGTTTATAAAAAAATAACAAAGGTTTAACTCCTTGAACAACAATTCATATATTTACATATTTCTCCAGCAAATTATTCTTTATCATTCTCTTAAATCTACTCATTGATCTGGCATTTTTAATGTCATCTTCCAGATTATTCCATAATCTTATGCCCTTTACTCCRTTCCTTTAAACTGGTTCTAAATTTGGGTTTAACAAACATTTCTATCCCTTTGAGATCATAACAAGTCTCTCTTTTAACAAAGTGTAATTGAATGTTTGAAGGTAATGTGTTTTTATGAGCCCTATACTGTCAAGAGATCTGACCGCACCAATCACCGCCAGGATTGGAATCAGACCCGCTGAGCCCCCTCTGGACCCCCAGCAGAGAAGAGAGCGCGACAGGAAGAGAGGCCACAGAAAGGATCGAAGTGGAAACCGAGAGGAGAAGAAGGTCAAGAGGCAGAAGGAGCAGAAATGATTATTGAAGTTAATCAATTGTAATGCTGGCAAAGATACATATGTAACCTGAGTAATGATTATGCTTAATTGCAATGTGTGTGATTTAACTAATGTACTATGATAATTAATGTGTTTTTAAATGTAAGATGGTGATACAGGAAGAAAAGAGTCAAGGTGTGTCTTAAGATGTAGGAAGGTTGGGTGTGTGCTATTTTGGACGGTGAAGTACAGGGCACATTCCTGTGATACAGGACTGATAAAATACCATAATTAACCAAACCATAGAATTTCAACAACTTCAACTGATGGAAAAATGTATTTGATGGGTGATAATGCTTTCTGGTGATAATTCTTACAGCTCTTTTCCATAAAACAAAAATTGGGTTTGTAATTGTT